GTGGTCCCGTCGTCGTCAAGGCCGTCCATCTCTTGTAGTGGACTGTGGATGCGGTGCTGCTTGAACAGCTGCTGAATAGGTGTACTGGGCGCCCGCGAATCGGCACGAGCACCTGAAGCCAGCATCGTCTTGGCACACTGGGGAAACATGTGCGAGAATGATTGAAACGAGTAGTGAGAGTGAGTGTCGAAAAGCCAAAATGGCTTGAGCCAAAAGTGCTTGAGAAGACTTCGAAGATCAATAATAGTATTTTGAATAAAGATATTACGAATGATAATAGTTTGAATACTAATAATACTAGGAAGAATATTATTAAGAAGAAGAAGGAGAAGAAGAAGGAGGAGGAGGAGGAGAAGGAGTAGGAGGAGGACCATGACCCGCGCCTCCGGCGCCCGCCGCGGGGCGATCCAGGTCCCCCCAGACGCCTCTCGGCGAGGCGCCAGCTGCTGGAGAGCACCCCGAGGCTGGAAGACCGCTGAGAATCGACGGAGACGTCCGAAAACCTTGAACGTCGCACCCCATTTGTGGTCACCCAGGCCTCCGATGATGTGACTCTGTCATTCTGCGCCGCCCGAGCTCCAGACTCCTTCCCTGGGGGTAGTGGTCCCTGGTCCCGAGAGCGGCCTCGGGAGGCCGAAACGAAGGGAAGCCCTGCCATTGAACAGATCATCTCGTCGGAGGTCGGGTGATCGGAGGTGAGGGGGTGAGATCGCCGTGGAACGGAGGGCCCCCACCGGGAAATCGGTTTCGGTTTCGTGTCCGTGTCGTGCGTGCGGGCGAGGCGAAGCTGCGTGGGCGGGCGAGAGGAATGAAATCTCCTCTTGCTGGGACGCTGCTAGGCCAAAAGACCGCCCACCCTGGGTTGTCCGGTGGTGGCCGCGGGTGTCCTGCGGGCGTCCCACCGGTGTCCCGTCGTGAGATCGATAGTGAGATCGATAGTGAGATCGAGAGTGAGATCGATAGTGAGATCGCGAGATCAATCGTGAAATCGATAGTTACATCAATAGTGAGATCGATCTTAAGGTCGGCATTGCGAGCAATCGTGATCTCGACAGTGAGATCGACACAGGTCGATAGTGAGATCGATAGTGAGATCGGTTGTCAGATGGATAGTGGGATCGATTGTGAGATGGATCGATTGTGACATCGATAGTGAGATCGATCGTGAGATCGATAGTGAGATCTATGATGAGAGCGGTCTTGTGATATCGATAGTGAGATCGATCGAACTGTCCCGTAGGAAGATCGAGAGTGAGATCGATAGTGAGATCGATAGTGAGACAGGTAGTGAGATCGATAGTGAGATAGATAGTTAGATCGATAGTTAGATCGATAGCGACATCGATATGGAGATCTATTGAGTGAGACGTTGGTTCCTCCTCCTCGAACCTCCTTATCACTCGAAGGGGGGTCGTATAAGTATTGATATGTTTGCCCCTCGCCCAGGACTCTATGCTTCCCAAATGGGGTCCGAGTAGATGGGGTCGGAGGATGGCGCCGCTTCGCCGATGCATCGGCGATGCGTCTCGATGTGGAGCCCGATTTCCTCCACGCCGACGTCGCCGATGCATCGTATCGCTGGCGTCGCCGATGCATCGCCGATGCATCGCCGATGCGGTGCGATCCGCCGACCCCATCTGCTCCAGCCCCTCTTGGGAGGCCTCGATACGGTGGGCGGGCGTTGGTCGAGGAATGTGCCCAGGAGTACTCTCAGAGGCGACGGTAGGGGCGAATAGCCCAGGGGAGAGCAATACACATATTCAGGTGCGCCGATGACCTATGTCTTCGAAAAGGCTCCCGGGCGAACACGTGTAATGCCCGCCCCTGGGCTATTCGCCCCTATCGTCGCCACAGATCCTGGAGGATTCCGTGTCTTATGAGGGCGGCGGTGGTATCCATGGCCATGTCGTCGTCCTCGTCCTCGCCCTCCTCGTCAGCTTTCGCTTGCATTTGCGGGCCGAATTTCGTGGCATTTTCGATGCGCTTTGACGCGCCGACCGGCTTATTTCCCTGTGCTTCTACAGTCCAGCCGAGTAATCGCACCCGAAGAAAAAAAACAAGTGGCACGCGTGCCAAGGCTCTTGCAAAGAAGGGAGGGGGAAGGATGAGGGAGAGGTGGAGGAGGACAGGGAAGGGATATAGGGTACGAGAAATCGGAGAAGGAGGATCCAACGAGGGCCGCACGATGGGCTTGACAGGGCGAGCTCGAGGAGGCTCCAAGGGCTCTCCCCCACGAGATGGCCTCCAAGACTTCCAACATGCTCCCAGGAGGCCTCCAACAAACACTCAAGACGTTTACCCAGGATCCCAAGAACTCCCCCGGATCCCGAAATGGAGGCAGAGGGGGCAGGGGGCGGGAGGGGGTTCCACTGGGCCGCTGGGGAACGCTGGGGAGAAGGGATGGCGGGGCGGGGAGGAGGGGTGCGTTGCTACGTGGAATAAAATTGTCGGTGCGGGGGCGGCACTGGGCGGTGGTTCCACTGGGCCGCTGGGGAACGCTGGGGCGGGGGGGAGGGTGGCGGGGAGGGGGAGGGGTGCGGCGGGGCGCTGGGGAGGGTGGGGGGTGGGGGGGGGGGAGGGGGAGGGCGCGATGCGACGCGGAGTAACACTTGTAGGGGTGGAGGGGTGGGAGCACTGGGCGGAGGTTCCACTGGGCTGCTGGGGAACGCTGAGGTGGGGGGTGTAGAGGGGGAGGGGCGGGGAATGAAGGGAAAGGTGCGGCGGAACGCGGGGGTGGGAGGGGGGGGGCGGGGGGGGGGCGGGCGCGGTGCGACGCGGAATAAACTGTTGGGGTGAGGGGCAGCGGGCAGAGTTCCACTGGGCCGCTGGGGAACGCTGGGAATGGGGGAAAGGGGGCGGGGAGGGGGGGCGCGGTGCGACGCGGAAGGGATTTTCTGGGGCAGAGGGAGCATTGGGCGGGCGGAGGCTCCATTGGTCCGCTGAGGAACGCCGTGGCGGTTGGGCATGGGCGCGGGGAGGGGGAGGGGTGGGAGGGGGCGGGGAGGGGGGGGGTGGGCGGGCGGAGGCTCCATTGGTCCGCGTTGAGGAACGCGCGTGGCGGTTGGGCATGGGGCGCGCGGGGAATTGGGCAGGTGGGGGAGGGGGGCGCGGTGCGACGCGGAATGGGCAGAGTTCCACTGGGCCGCTGGGGAACTGGAGGGGGGAGGGGGCGGGGAGGGGGGCGCGGTGCGACGCGGAAGGGATTTTCTGGGGCAGAGGGAGCATTGGGCGGGCGGAGGCTCCATTGGTCCGCTGAGGAACGCCGTGGCGGTTGGGCATGGGGCGCGGGGAGGGGGGGAGGGGTGGGAGGGGGCGGGGAGGGGGGGGGTGCGACGCGGAATTTCGGGTCGGAAGGGGCATTGTGCGGAGGTTCCAGGCCGCTGGGGAAAAGGGTCGGAGGGGGGCGGGGGGCGCTGTGCAACGCGGAATAAAATGGTCGGGGCGGAGGGGGCACTGGGCGGAAGTTTCACTGGGGCCGCTGGGAACGCTCGGGAGGGGTAGGAAGGGGGCGGGAAGGGGGGGGGGCGCGGTGCGACGCGGAATATAGTTGTCGGGGCGGAGGTTCCACTGGGCCGCCGGGGAACGCTGGGGGGTAGGAGGGGAGCAGGGAGAGGGGGTTCGGTCCGACGCGGAATAAACAGGTCGGGGCGGAGGGGGTATGTGGCGGAGGTTCCATTGGGCCACTGGGGAACGCTGAGGAGAGGTAGGAGGGGTGGGGGCGGTGCGACGCGGGATAAAATGGTCGGGGCGGAGGGGGCACTGGGCGGAGGTTCCACGGGGCCGCTGGGGAACGCTGGGGAGGGGTAGGGGGGGGGGGGGGGGGGGGGGTGCGACGCAAAATAAAGTTGTAGGGGCGGAGGGGGCACTGGCGGAAGTTCCACTGGCCGCTGGGGAACGCTGGGGAGGGGTAGGAGGGGGGGCGGGAAAGGGGGGGGGGTGCCGCGCGACGCGGAATATAATGGCCCGGGCGGAGGGGGCACAGCAGAGGTTCCACTGGGCCGCTTGCGAACGCTGGGGAGGGGTAGGAAGGGGTCGGGGAAGTGGGGTGGCGCGGTGCGACGCGGAACAAACTGGTTGGGGCGGAGGGGGCATTGGGCGGAGGTTCCGCTGGGCCGCTGGGGAACGCTGGAGAGGGGTAGGAAGGGGGGCAGGGAGGAGGGGCGCGGTGCGACGCGGAGTGGTCGGGGCGGAGGGGGCACGGCGGGGCGGAGGTTCCGTTGGGCCGCTGGGGAACGCTGGCGAGGGGAAGGAGGGGAGCGGGGAGGGGGGGGGGGCGGTGCAACGCGGAATAAAGTGGTCGGAGCTCTGGACGCCCTTTGCAAGATAATACAAGAGGCCAAGCTTCAGTTGGCGCTCCGCTGGCTTCCAGACCCTGGGATCTTTCTCCGAGGCATCCCTCCTCGAATGCCCTGCCCGAACGTCCGCCGCTCGTGCAGGACGGCGTTCGACGCTCGGCCGCCTCGGACCTCTCGTGGTCCCAGGGAGCCCCGACCCGCTCCCCAGGGTCAGTGCTTCGTCTTGAGCTGTCTCTGACGGCCCCAGGGCCTGGCGAGGCCCCCCCCCCCGGGCCGACAACGAGGAGAAACCTCAGCGCCATCGTCGCCGCCATCGTCCCGGTCAACGCCATCGTCACCGTGTGGGTATGTTCGCCGCTCGTGCAGGACGCAGCACGCGCAGAGGGGGCCGGGGGGGAGGGGGGAAGGCTTCTCAGAAGCACCCCGCCTCGAAACTAGGCGCGCAACCCACCCACAAAACGTGAGGCCCGCGCCGTCCCAGGAAGCGGCCTCCTTCCACGCAGCCTCCCCCGCCCTCCTCCTACAGGCGGCCCGGATTAGTAGGTCGACCCTGCCAGATCAAGGGTACCCCTGCGTCCTGTGCCTCGCGACCCCTGCTCCGTACATTCCTGTGGCGATGTGGCCCTCGAGAGGGTCTCGTGTCCTCTCGCGTGTCCTCTCCAGTCAAGCCCTCCTCCCAAACCCCTCCCCTGCGCGCCGCCGGAGGACGGCGACGGCTCGGCCGGCTCGGACCCCTCCGACCTCGCCGCCGCCGACCTCGGCGGGCGCCCCGAGCACACCGGGCCCGAGGCCGCGCGGCGGGGCGCCGCCGGCCCGGACCTGCTCGGGGGCTGACGCGCCGCGGGGCGCGGCGGGGCGCCCGCCCATCGGCGGCGCGGTTCGATAGGCCCGCGGCAGGCTCCGTGCGGCGTGGGCGCGGCGGCGGCGCCGGCGAAGGCGTTCGCCTTCGCGGGCCACCATATCTCCGCACCGTGAGCGTCCTGCCCTCTGGCCTCCCTGCCGCGGTGCTGGAGGCCGTCCTCGGGGCCGGGCGGGCCGCCATGGCCCCCTTCTCCGTGTCAAACTCCCGGACACGTCGGCGGCAGGCTCGTGTGCGGCGTGGGCGCGGCGGCGGCGCCGGCGAGGGCGTGCGAGGTCGGGCGAGCGGCGCGGCGTCGAGGGCCTGGGCTCGCGCGCCGACGCCGCGCGAGCCTGCCGCACCCTCGCCGAGCAACGAGTCGGGCAACTCGACGGGCGGCGGGGGTGGGGCCCGGAGTTCGCCGAGCACGTGGCGAAGTCCGAGCCCTGTCCCCCGCCTCCAGTGGAGTCCAGGAGAACCGAGGGGTCGGCGGGGGTGGGGTTCGGGTGTCGCCACCTGCCTCTTCTCGATCGGGGGCTCCGTCCGAGGTTCGAGGCCTTACGCGGGGGGGAGGGGTTTGAGCTTCGAGGCGTTCGCGCATCTTTGCTGGCTCTCGACGGCTTTCCAGCCTGGGGGTGCGCTCCAGCGGCTGCGTCTCGCCGAGAGTGGGGTTTCCGGATCGTCCTGAGCGGCCGCCGGGGACCCGGGTTCTGACCTGAGAGCTGCCCATCTTCGGGGGCAACGTCAGGGGGGCATGGGCTCAGGGTCGGAGGCCTAGAGGTTGGCACCAGCACCCAAGTCGGCGGCGTGCCTCCACCGAGGGAAGAGGATCCCGATCTCGGTGATGGTGGTGATGCTCGGGCTCCCAAGGTGGCCGCAAGATGACCACCGACACCGAAGTCCAGGATCAGCTGCCCCAGTTGAGGCAGGCCCCGGTGTTGGTGTTGGTGCCCATTTCCAAGCCTCCTGGGATGTATCGACCCCCAATCGCCCGCTCATCGCCGATGTGGGGCCCGATGATCCGCCCCGGAACGCGTCGACGCGCTATCGGGGGCCCAAAGCGCCGGTCTGTCGGCGATGCATCTCTGGTTGACCCAAGCGGGGGTTCAGCGAAAAGGGTGCGGTGCAATAGATTTGGTGGAATAGATTTGTGGGGTTGCAGCGGATTCGGGGTGTGCAATACACTCTGGTGCGCACATGTGTTGCTGGATTTTTCCGGCCGCCTGAGGCCCCGCCATCCTGTGCCCTGTCTCCCAAATTAAAGCTGTGCGTAGCCCGCCTAGCTTTTAGCGGAAGAGGTTCGCTCTCGCCCTGCAGATCAAAAAATGTGTTGCTGGATTTTCGCGTGCAATGCATTTTACTTGCAATGCAATGCAGTAGAATTCTCTGGCGCTGTAAGTTTGCAGCACAATTGCCCCAATTATTTCGCATCACCCCGTTTCAGCTGGACCCCCTATTGTTATGTCGGGCGTGTCCCACTACAGGCGGATTTTCGACGAAAAATAAAACATAATCCAAGAATAGTCAAAAAACATAGTCCAAAAATGGTCCGGGGACTATTTTAAAAGCATCTTTTGACCATTTTGGAATATTTTTCGAGTATTTTTTAGTTTTCGTCGAAAATTCCCCTGTAGGGGGACACGCCCGACTTAAGCCTATTGGGGGTCACGAGGAGCCAGGGGGGCAAGGGCTCGGGGCGGGATGCCTCGACCCCCCGTCGCCCACTCATTGCCGATATGGGGCCCGACGATCCGCCCAGGAGCGTGCCGACGCGCTGTCGGGGGCCCAAATCGCCGGTCTGTCGGCGAGGCATCGCTGCTTCCCTCCTCGATGTTTCCCTCGGGGGGACGTAGGACTCGAGTAAGCCGGAGCTCGGGTTTGCCGACGTTTTTTGACGCTCGCGTCCTGGATTTTGACGACTCGGTTTTCGTGGGATGTCTGCAGCGGGGGCTCGTTCCCAGATGGGGCCTCGTCGTTTTCACCATCGCCCCGCCAGGCCAACCCGAGTCCCCCGTGCCCGAGTCTCCCGCCTCCCCCGGCTGCCCCCCCCCGACCCGACCACCCCCGAACCCCGCCGCCGCGGGCGGCTGCCAGCACGGCGCCCTCGTCGCGGCGGGGCCTGCGTCCTCGAGGTCGCTGGCGAGGGGGGGGCGCCGCCGCGGGCGGCCGCCGGCACGGCGACGGTCGCCGTGGCGAGGTCTGCGGCGGGGAGGTCGCCGGGCTCGACCGGGGCCTCCTCCTCCCCCGGGGGCTCCCTCGGCTCGAAGGGGGAAGAAGCGGCACAGGCAGGAGCTCTCGGCGCTCCGCGCGGATGTCTTGGGTCTGCACGGGCTTCCCCTGGCGGCGCCTGGGGCGCCGCCCCGCGGC